AACACCTTTGTCTTTTGTTTTAATATCGGACTGTCTCAGGTTAATCAAAAGCAATGTTTTAAGTAAGATATATGCCTCATACAATTCTGTATAAATAAATATCAGACAGTTTTCGGCCCTAATGGGCCTCAAACAGTGTGTTATTTTTAATACAGAACTGTATTCGGCATATATACAATACTTATATAATATACAGATACCACAAATGTTTATATTGCAATATGAAGAATTAAATTTCTTTTAACAAAATTTACCGAATCTGCCTTCTTACGCAGAATGTAATTTCAAGGAAATAACCGGTACATTATCCAGTATTAAGACAGAAAATATATATAACTATATGCTCGATTGATTATATTTACTATCAAAGTAAACTTTTACGCATATAACCATTAAAGCACTTATGAAGAAATTCTGGAAATTTCTTAATTTTCTTTTTCAACGGATAAATTTTGAGATTTTTAAACAAGATAAATATTAGAAAGAAAAAGATTAAAAAAAAACTGGTTTCCTTTCCTTTTCAAAAAGAAGAAAGGTTGTTTGAAATCCAAATTTTCATTGCATTAAATAAAAGTATATATTCATTTTGAATGTCAGATCTGTATTTTTTTTTTTTTTTTGGATAATAAATTTATTTCAAAAATGCATGTACGATAAAGTGCAACAGCAAATCAGCAATTATTTTATATATACAGTGAAAATAAGCAAAAATCTTAGGATTGCAGATTGAGAGGAAAGAAAGGAAGAGAAAGAGAGAGAATGAGGAGAGAAGCTGCTTATTAACAAATAAGGAAAAAAACCTGTCTGTATAAGTGTAACTGTACACAGTTGTTAATTCTGAAATCGAGCAAAATAGTCAGAGCCTTCTCAGTATGAATAACCAAATTTCCCATTCTTTATGAAAATCTTCAAGTTTACAGTTTTTGCTAGCTGTATACTTCAAAGTTGAAAGATGAGTTTTGATATCTATAAGTAGTCCATGAATTGATAATTTTTCATTAAGACACCGCTTTTTGTATATGTAGGATATGAGAATTAGAAATATCTGGTACAAATTCCTATAACTTGAATCAAGATCTAATCCCAAAATAAAAGAACAAGGATCCCTTGGAATAACAATATCCCTTGTCTGACAAAATTGAAAAAAAATTGATGAGATCTTGAACAAAGGGACATTCCCACAGTATATGATAAATTGTTTCTTCAGCTGAATTACAGAAATTACACATTTTACTATCTTTCATCCCAACTTTAAACAAAAATATATTACTTGTTCAGATATGATGTTAAATTCTATATTGTAATCATTGTAGTTTTGTACTTTTAGTACTGATAAAAGGTAAATGAAAGATTGATTTCCATTGCAACTTAGATAAAGTGAAATATCTTCCCCATTTTGATTTGTAAAAAGATGTGACATTTTCTTCTGTATTTAATGTGTCATACATAGTTTTAGTACCTTTTTTGGATGAACAAAATAATCTAATGTAAAATGGGATAATTGGTCTAGGTTTTTTTTTTAACAATATCCTCATTTTTTAGACTGTTTGAAATAGAGTTTTTTATACCATAATATGTAAGAAAATTAGTTTTAAAGATGAACTTTTTCTGGAGATCTCGTAAACTCACAAATGTTCCATTCTCATCAAGTAAATCATTGATATATTATTATAATATTCCTATTATACCATTCAGTATAGAAAATGGGCTTTTTTCAAACTTTATTTTTATTATTCAACCAAATTGGTTGAGTTACAAATTCTTGCCATGTTTTTATCTTCATTTTATCTTGAATATCTCGAAAAGCAATAAATGTATCTTTCCTGAAAGGGTTTTTTAAATGGTGTAATATATCATTGATGTAATCTGATCCAGTTAATTTTGAACATTTTGTCAAAATTTACAGTTTCATTTAATAAAGTTTTCCATTTTTAATTCTGACTGTTCAGTAATCTTTTAATCCATGATGATTTCAGACCTTTGAAATTGTTATTAATTTCAATCTTTTTCAGGCCTCAATTTGGGTAGTCTTGAATAATTTGTTTTCTTTTGATTTTATCCACCTTGGATTTCCACAGGAAATTAAACAAAATATTGTTCAAATCTTTTACAAATTTGCTTGATGGTCTTGGTAGAGAGATTAAAGGTGGTTCATTTGTGAGATAAGTCGAGATTTTATCAGCGTAACCCTGCCAATAGGAGTGGTATGCCTTTTGTTCCACTGATTAATAATACTTTTGATTTTGACCAGCTTTTTGTCATAATTAAGTTTGGGAATATTAGTCAGGTCAACATCAAAATGAATGCCTCAAATTTTAAAGCTGGTTATCCAATGAAAATTCATTTTATTACATAATTTTTCATTTGAGTATTTCTTGCTACCTATCCAAACTAATTGTATTTTTGATAGAATAAATTTTAGCCCAGAGAGTGCATTAAAATGATTCAATTCCTCAGTAGTGGCTCTCAGGGATTTTTCAGACCCATCTAGTATTACTGCAGTATCATCAGCATACTGGGACATTAAATATTCTATTTCATTAATTTTAATACCTTTTATATTTTTGTTATTTTTTTCTTTTGAGAGCAAGAAACTCTGCACATAATAAAAACAAATACGGAGAATTTGGGTCACCTAGGCGACAGCCTCGGATAGGTTTAAAAAAAGTCTGAGAGGTATCCTGCTTGTGTAACAGATGATTCAACATTCCTTTGAAAAGTAGATATCCAGGAATGAATAGATGGACCAAAATTGAAAAATTCTAAACATTTATGTATGAATTTCCAAGACACTGTATCAAATGCTTTCTCAAAATCAATCAACAGTAAAACACCTGGGACGTCATGTTCCCCTGTGTATTGCATTAAATCATATATTAATCTTGTATTCTCACCAATATATCTATCCGGTATAAAGCCTGTTTGATCAAAACTAATTGTTGTATCGAGAAGAGTTTTTATTCTTTGAGCAATACATCCAGAACCTATTTTATAAGCTACATTTAAAAGTGTTATTGGTCTCCAATTTTTCAAGAAAAATTTACTTTTACCCTCCTTTGGAATACAGGTGATAATACCTTGTTTCTGTGTTACCGAAAATTGACCACTGCTGTATCCAAAATTTAAGGACCTAACCACAAAATGTCCAATTTTGTTCCAAAAAACTTTATAAAATTTTGTAGTAAAGCCATCGCTGCCGGGGCTTTTGTTATTTGACATATTCCTTAGAACAGATGTTGCTTCAGTGTAAGAGAGTTCCCCTTCTAATGAGACTCTTTGAATATCATTCAACTTTTTAATGTCTGTGTCTGATAAAAATTCATTTAAATCATAGTCTCTGCTCTCATCGTTTGCCTTGTAAAGATTCTTACAGAAACTTTCTATTTCTTTTAAAAATTACATTTTGATCCGTTATTTCTTCCAGAGTTTCTTCATCTTTAATTAATTTAGGAATTATTTTATTTGTATAATGTCTGTTTTCTAAATTCAAAAAGTAGCTTGTAGGTTTCTCTCCTTCATCTGCCCATTTAGCTCTTGATCTCACTATGTTTCCCATTAATCTATGATTTCTTATATTCTCCAATTCTTTCTTTTTATCATTGATCAAGGTAATGTTTTGCTCATAGTTTTCTTCTAATTTATCAATATCAGATATAATTTCTTTTTCTTTTTTCATTATTCCTTTTTTTAATAAAACTAGAATAAGATATTGTTTTCCCTCTAATTTCCATTAGAAGAGTTTCAAGGAAAAGCTGATCATTAATTGTAAATTGTATTTTAGCATTAGACAATATATATTCTTTACTGTACACCGGTAAAGCATAATTTACTTTTATCTGTATTTTAGTCTTGTTAATGGTTTTAATATAGTCAAAATCATGCAACAATGAGTTATTAAATTTCCATAATCCTTTTCCATGAGTAAAATTACTCAGTTTTAGATTGAGGTATACAGGAGAATGATCAGACTTGTAGCTTGATAAAATGTCAGTTACTTTTATCATATTCAACAATGAGTTTGATATCAGAAAAAATCTAACCTTGCTTGTTTAAATGGATGAGCCTTGAGCCAAGTATATCTTTGTTTTTCTGGGTGAATTTCTCTGAATATATCTGACAAATTTTGGCCAGAAATAACTTCTAATATCTTTTCTCTTGCTTTTGGATTATTAGTATGAAGATAGTTATGATAATCCTTATCTGGGTTAATAACTAAATTAAAGTCCCCTACTAAAATAGCATGATCATTGTTCATATTATCTATTGATTCTGAAACCATATTATAAAATCCAGGATCATCATCATTTGGACCATAAGTGGCAATAAGACTTGTACGTACATCCCCAAGGCTAATATCAAGTGCTAAAAATTAACTGAGTTATCTTTCACATTGTTGTGAACTTTATATTCAAAATTATTACTTAAAAAATTGCTATACCTCTGGACTGAGACGAGAAGGAATTAAAGTATACATCATATCCCCATTCATTCCTTATATCTTCCTCCATATCTATAGTAAATGAGTATCTTGTAAACAGAGTATATTACACTTCAATTGTCTGTAGTATTGTAAAACATTCTTTTCTTAAAATCATGAAGGCCCTGACAAATATAATCTTTAGCTCTGACATAAGATTTTGAAATTAACAGGCGAAAAAAACTGCAAAAAAATTAACTTAGTTTTTTCTTTACTGTAAGACGCAGCTCTCATATCGTGCTTAAATGCAATGAGGAAAGAGGAAAGTAAAGAGAGAAAGAAAAGAGAAATAACAGAAGTGCATTGGGTTCAATTATAGAGATCAGAGCTTCTAAAGGTGCAAGGTCAATGTAATGGTGACTACAGAACAAAACTATCTATATCGGAAATGCCACCCGAAAGCTAAAAGTTAAATTTCTTGGAATAAAATTTCGAATTCCGGTAATATATAGAAATGAAATTCAGAACCATACGGTGGCATTCTTATTTCCGCAAGTCAATAAATAGCACTTGAACCAAAAAAATAAAATATTGATGTTATGAATCAGAGAAAGTCCCTATTCACACTTTAGTTCACTCACACGGTTTTTTTTTTATCGTTCCTATAATAGATTTGCCACATCGTTCAGGAGGTTCTCCATGATGGTAAAACGCTCGGGTCCAATATGCTCTCCCATCCATCTCGTTACAACGAAGGCCGCATAGATGATTTGGTTGTCCTGCATAAATTTAAGGAGGCGTCGGCCCGCTCCATGTTCACCATCATCATGATAGTTTTCAGTCACTTTATCGTTTTCTCGGAATCTGTAAACTAAGATTCTGCTGTCGACACTGGCGACATAGGGGTCGATGCAGGCCTTCTTGTAGAAGTCTTGAACACTCTCCACCGAGTCTACCTCAGATCCAATAGCAAAAAATTCAGATCCATTTTTTCGTACAGGATCTACGCTTTTTATTGTAATGTCATCCAATTTCTGTGTTTTACACGCTTGGATTTGTGAAACATCTGCACTGGTGAGCAGCGGAACTTCTTCGCTATATTTATCGCCATTTGGTAAAGTGAGGCTATTTTTTGACATTTTCACAGTAATGTTCTGTTTTTTGAAAGAATCTGATTTGTCAAAAAGTTTATTTCTGGCAGAAACGATGGACAGAGGTTGTTGAGGGGTAATGTAAAACGGCAAGGGAACCTTCGCAATATTTTTAATTTTTCTGTATATTTTTTTAATCCTTCAAGTAGATTTCCGACATTAAAATGAATTATTTTCTGAATACGTGAGGAGGTCAAAAAGAACTATGAATTAAAAAAAATCAGAACAGAATTTAATTTGGCACACACAGGGTCATGCAGATTTCTATAAAAACCATATGAAATGAAATATTTTGCTCCATGTTTGTGACGTCAAAATGACGTCAATATGTAGATAAATTGTTAAAAAAACGGATGACTTGGTTGTACTCGAGAAACAAACGGCTGTGAAGTTAAAAATTTATTTTTAAAATTCTTCTGCATTAATTAAAAAAATAATTTTTACATGGTTCATAAAGACAAATGACTTTCCAGAAGTGAAGTCATTAATTGGATTGAATGTTTTAGTGAAGGACGGGTAATGAATAAGAATGATGTTTGTGCTGGTGCCAATTGAAAGCAAGCCGGGGGATGTGGTCTTTGTGAAGCAATTTGATATGGAAGATCGACATCTTACAGTTATAATCATAGCTAAAAATCTTGGCAATGGTAAAATTTTGAAATCTCTAAAATATTGTCTACTTCAGACTTTAAACCTATCAGATATTATTAAAAGAAGACACCCACACTTTATTCACTTCGAATAAAGGACACTCCCAAGACAGAGGACTCGGATTATAATGGTCACCATGCTCATTATTTAAAAGGATAAAATCGTTGAGCTTCTGTGACAGAACACTAAGGTGGATATAACGTTAACTCCTAGATCGCGTGATTCGCACATGAGCAGAACGGCTTCAGATGCGTGTTTATGGGAAAATACTAATAAAAAATAAACACTGAAACCCAATAGCATTTCTTTTTTAGAAATTTTTCAATTAGATCGAAACCATGGCAGGTGTTAACGGTCGGCAGGGAATGTTCATTCCTCTATGGTAGCTGCTCCCATCCCCTGTGTTTTAGAGGATTTAGAGGCCCGCGTTGGTTCTGCTCCTATTTTGTATTGTTTTATTGACTGTTGATCTTGAATATAGTTTGTTATCTCCATATGTTGCATTCGCAAACATTTTTATCATCCTTGCCATTTGCATGTTTTATGAAATATGTTTTCTCCATATGTTGTCTTTGCGAACTTTTTGATCACCCTTGACATTTACATATTTTATTAAAAATATTATATTGTTAGAAAATTATTCCTCTATTGATAATACTAGAATTTGATTGGCTGGTAAGAAAACTTTAAAACACAACTATGACTACAAGTGTTACTGTTTACAGCAATAATGACCTAGGATGTGGGCTATAATGATCCGGTCATTATAAATTACGACCGCTAAATTAAGACCTCTTAATCATAAATTCCTTTTTGAGTGGAGTTAATGCATAAAATAATATTATTATGCATTATACGAGAAAAACATGTTTTTAAAATTGTGCATGGTCTGTTTTGCATTACCATACAGAATACGGTAAAAATTTTATCGCTAACCAAAATATCGTTACAATTTAAGTCAATGAAATTTAGAAGCGGCTCTTTTCAGAGTAAAATTCTGCGTAAGATTTTAACTGTGTAGAGGAAAAAGTAATCGTTAGTTATAACAATGTATGTCGCCATCAACCAAATATTGTTTTAATCAGTAAATCATGATGCAAAAAGTTACACGACTTGCAGACCTCAATGTAAAGAACTTACGGAGTGTAGCGAATCCCGATCCCGATCAAGGAAAGAATTGATAGGGATTCATACTTTTCAATATATATAGGTTAAATAAAACAATTGATTGCCCCTTATGAGTTCAACATGGTGAAATAAGGACCCGAGACCTGGCCAGCTCCATGAACTGCCCTGACTTCTGCAGCCTCAATCCGGCCAGGTCACCTCATGGGCCAGGTCTCGGTCCTTATTCCACCATGTTATCCTCAAAAGAGGTAATTAATTGTATATTAAATCCTCCAAAACTTCCGAATTGTTCAAAGTGAAGTTTAAAAGTAAATCAAAGTATCAAAGTATGTACTATAGTTAACTATAAGAAATTCTTGTTATGCTAGATACACTTATATATACATTTGTGGTATCATTCCTTTTATCCTTTATATAAACATTCAGAGAGAAAATATCTTCAATTCTGTATGAAGTTTGTAAAATAATTGTTTTATTTACAATTATTAAAACTAGTACTTCATTTATTGTTTTGGCGATCGGTTTAACCTATGTACATATAGAATATACCGATAGAAACTAGTCTTTGTTTACAACTTTTTTACCACTTTTGTCAGCTGCACAATCTCTAACGTTTATCCTTATTTTCTTGGTTAACCTTAAGTTAAATCTTCATGATATATGCTTAAACCATATTTTTTTCATTATATTCTACTCACGATAAAAGTGTAAATCTGTTGAAAAGATTCAAAGGAGTGCAAACACCCCGAGCAGCGCTTTCGTAGACTTTTAGTGTAAGCTGTCGCTAGTGTCTCCGTATTTACATCATAAATATGCCTTTCGAAACTAAATCGTAGATTGAATTCTTTGATCAAATTTTATACTTGATTGCGAATTAACTGGCTCGTACAAGTGTCTCCATCGATCGGATCCATTCATCTCTCGAGGCGACCGAAGTTCCTTCATTTTTTATATCAATCTTAGGACGTGTTTCATGTATCTTTTAAGCATTTATATCATTTTTCACAAATAAAAAGGTTCCCTGAAAACAATCTGTTCACTTTTACTGATCACAAGTAGCCTTTAACATAAACTACCCTTCGAAAAAAAAAATCCTTACCTAGTTAATTCGATGCGTAGCCGCCTTTCAAGCCGATTTACACCCTGTGTACTTTTGACGGACATCTACGACTACCGTTTAGCGTAATATCTGTATCCGAATATATTCAATTTAATATTAATTTGTCCATCTAAAACATATATATAAGTAATAAATAACAAGTTTATAAACTTCAATGGGAATTGTAGTGGGTCGGTACGTGATGAAATCTTCTGAGAAGGCCTTCGGCCTTCACAGGATTTAATCACGTATTTCCAAGTCTATTTCATTTTCCAGGTCCACAGAAAAAAGAAATCAAATAATTATTAACATTCCAATACCTATTAGATGATATTAGGTCTCCTCCAAAGAAATGAAATTCGTTTGTATCATCCGTCCTTAATTTTGAGTTGCGGAAAATTAACTGTTTATACTTACTTTCTGTATCTGAGGTTTCTGAAATAGATATACTTAATGTATTATGTAAAATAGTTAAAATTTGATAAAATTTTGGATATTAAGTGAATTCTTTTTTGCACACTGCATTTCGGGGTTACATGAACTATATAAAATCTTGCGGAAAAAGGGTATGACGAGTCTTAAAAATTGGCATCCCTAGATAATACCGTATGTAATATATATCTGCCCCCATTGCTACGGAATTTTAAGTTAGAGAAAAAGTGGGAAGTATGCACATAGCAAACCAAGTATCACAACGTTTTACCAAAATATCTGATTGAACAATTGTTTCATTTCTTTAAAAAGTCAAAAATATCTCATTCAATGAACAAATTGTTTAGATTTTTGAGTCACAGTTGTGTACAAAGTATGACAAGATAAATATAAGCAAGTGTCTTGATTATAGAAAACGTCCTGTCAATTTTTGTATTTCATCGACTGTTCACAAAGTTTACAAAATATACCAAGGACTATAGAGCCTAGATAAAGAACAAAGTAAAAATGCTTATACGAGGGGCATTTCAAAAGTTCTGGCAACTGTTTGATAAAAGATCAACCGTTTTACGGAAATTATCAAGTTTGACATCATTGGAAAGATCAGAAAAAAATACACATATTGTGACGTCACTTTATAATTCTAATGACGTAATAACTCCGAAAATGACGTCAGAATATAGAATGTTAGGCATACTGAAAAGTCGCGTTTTTATCCACATGAGAGATCGTAAAAGTTCTGTCAAAGACTTATTTGAAAAAATATTTCAAAGAAAATTTTAATATGCAAAGAGGTAGAGTAGGACTATGATACTGTTTATCAGCAATTCCATTATTCATTGTATGGTTTGTTTACGAGCACAGTTTATGTCCGATTATGCTATCATAGACATTCATTTTAGATTTTTATTTACATGATACGGCTGGATTTTTGGTCTTTTATATAGCTTTCCATTGTTTGAAATAAAACATGTTCTGTATAAAACTGAAGTATATTAATGCAGTTTTCATCAAATATATTTTGAGTTACAGGATTCTTACCGTTTACGAATAAAATGTACTAAATCTTGTCCCTGACTTGATTCTGTGCGTATTTTTTTCATATAAATTCAACTTCGGCGCCCCAAAACTCACCTCTGCTTTTGACTTTTGAATCCAAAAAATGAATATAGATTACTCAGACATGTAAAATCTTATTTATTTTCCATGCGTTAAAATTTGCGAATATGTGGAGGTACGGTGGGGTTACAACTGCGCTGCCGTCATTTTGGATTTTACGAGAAAATATGGGGCACACTAATCTTCACTTCTCTGGAGTCTTCATCGATCCCACAAATCTGGTTAAAAAACCTGACGAATTTATGCCATCGAATTTTGTAACTCGATCGCCTATTTTTCTTTGATTGTCAACTTTGTCTTTTTCTCACATTTAGGTCTCTTTTACGCAAAAGTTTGAGCGAGATTCGATAAAATCATGCTTATTTTGACACTCGCTAAAACCATTTCAGAACAAGAAGAACTCCAAAATAAAATACCATATGATAGATTGTAGTCTATGTAAACATTCCACCAACTGGCATTTGCGTCCGTTAACTTGCGTCCGAGTAATGAGCAAAAGTTGTCTTGAAAATTTTAATTTGATCAAATTGTGTCTTTTGTTACGTCATTTTTATGGTCAGTATGCTAAACATTCTATATTCTGACGTCATTTTCGGAGTTATAACGTCATAAGAATTATAAAGTGACGTCACAATATGTTTATATTTTTCTGATCTTTCCAATGATACCAAACTCAATTATTTCCGTAAAATGGTTAATCTTTTATTAAACAGTTGCCAGAACTTTTGAAATGCCCCTCGTACTATGAGGCCATATTCCTCTGGACCCTGAGACATTTGTGCAGCTGGATTTTGGTAACATTAATATAGTCCACCACGATGCCAAAAAATCAATGATCGTGAATTGACCATAAGGTAAATACGAATGACATGTCCATTTAAAAAATACAGTACAGGCGGGAATAAATGTATTTTATAATACACTCAAAATTTAATGGAAAAATTACCACAAAGAAAGCTTTTTTTTTAAAACAAAATGTTAAGCATCATACATATACAAATGTATTTATTTGATTTTGGCCAAATCTTTTTATCATTTTCAAAATTTTACAGAAAAGAAATCTGAAATCTGAAATTTACAATTTCTTTATATCATAGACTTCCACAAAAATTTCAATTATTTTATTTCAAAAAGTTGAATAATCTTTTTTCTCTCTAATTGACCGAGACAGTCTTTTCGGAGATGAGATAAATAATGTTATTATGCATAATAATATATCCGGTTTTGATCCATATGGATTTTCTTTACTCGTAGATCCTAAGCCACATAGTGTGCTTCAAACTTAAACATTTACTTAGCACATCAGGGTCAGGAAAAATCAAATGATCTTTATCCACCCCTGTCTGTTTTATGACAAAAAAGAACCTATTAGATTTTTTACCTTGGTGTATTTTCCTACAATGTCGGAAATTTTTAAGTAAGCGATGGTTAAATAGACATCAATTGCATTTGGCTTGCATGTTATAAAACTACTTATGTCCAAGGGGAGAAATTAATTTTTAATATAATTTATTAGTTGTTAGTTAACAATAGTTTTTCTTCATTGTTATCATTTTTGCAATCAAGAGCATATTCAGGGATGGTTGTCTTCGATACGGGCTAAAAAAAACGAATACTGTTTTAAGGATTCTTTAGACTTCACCTGCATTTGGTCTGCACATTACACACAATGTAAAAAAGACTGGTTGATTGTATATTGTATAACGTCCCATTCGAGCGAATGATTTACTCATATAGAGACGATACCGAATGCCAGGGAATGTTAAACTCAGCTATCGGGGGCATTGAGCAGTGAGGATTCTTTATCGTGCCTCCACCTACTGTGAAACGAACCCCCATTTTTAAGGTCATATCCAAAAAACCCGTGATTTTCCATTCTAATGACGAGCATTTGCCGAAGGAACAATTACTTCTTATTGTTACGTCTTAGGTTTTACGCGAACCATCTGCCACTAAGCCACCGTGGCCTTTATGTGAAAAACAAATAGACAGATAATCAGCTGAACTTTGCTTTTGTCCCAAAAAGAATTGAATTTTTCAATATAATTTTTGTGACATGTTACAATTATAAAACAAAAACAAAAATCCAATTTAAGGTTGTTTAATATACATATTTGTTCCCCCTTTTTCGGTTAGCTTATCATTCAATTTTGAAATCATTTTCGTATCACGTTTGAATCACATTAATTCAATTTTTGTGTGCATGAGTTATTCATTTGTCAAACAAGTCATGATTATAAATACATGCATAATCAGAAATTGTTTTTATTTAAAAACAAAATATTTTTCATAGAAAAATGGCTCTTACATAATTTTTTTCTAGTATGTTAAAAAAAGACACAAATTAATATCATTGGGGTAATGTGCAGCCCTGTCAAAAGAATCTAGTTCTAAATACGTTACAGGTATGTATAAGTGTCAGGATGCTTAAAGATAACAACTGAATGTTTTTATCACTCTTAAAAATCTTCAAACATGCTATAGTTATCTCTTGATATGCATTTCTTTCGTTTTTATACGTACATCAATTGTTGTATTACACATGTGTATCTAACGCTCAGAAAAAGATTGGAATTTAAGTATTAAAAAATGTAATGATTTAAGTATTAAAAAATGTAATGATCATTTATTTTCTCAAAATTTTTTTTTTAAAAAGACGTCTTTCAGATCTTTCCCAAAAATAACCAAAAGTTAGATAAAATATTTAACTTACCCACTTCAGATTCGTGAACTGCAATAAACAAAAAATGTACTAATTTTAACCCTTTTCATTCTTAGTATTTTACGATGATATTAAATAGAAGTGTATTCTACATGTATTCATAATTATATGAAAGCAGGATTATAGTTTAAATTAAAAATGTTATAATTTTTAGTAGGATTAAATGAATTTGATTTACTTATTTTGAATGTAATTTGAAGGAAATTATATTTTCAAGTACTCAGAAAAAAATGTAGCTGTTTACTTGATTGATTAATACGTAAGATTTTCAGTAGATAGTCCTTAAAGCACTTCAGTGACAGATACATGTATAAAGATTCTGAGAATTTCTTGTTTTTATTCTTCAACTTATCAATTTCATGGTTTTTGTTAGAAATAATAAATATCAAAAAGATTCAAATGCTGTTTTATCCCACAGTAATCAAAGATAAGGGTATATATATAGACATAGATTTTGCCCCATTTGCCCATCCGTCTGTATAGCTCTCTGTCAGTCCGTCAAGTAGTCTGTCTTGTGTCTGTTGGTCCGCAATAAATGTAACCTTGATTTGACATTTATCTTGGAATTTGTCACACTTTTACTTTGGCCATATCTTTTAAACTAGTGGTCTTAAGAATTTCCTACATCAGATATGTATTTTTTCTGACAAGACATTTGATTACAAAGCAACAATTTGGACCCTTTGACCTGGAAGACCTACTTCAAAGAATAACCTTGGCAATAACGTTTGAATGGCAAGAGCGAGGGCTTTCATACCTCATACAAATAGTCATTGTGACAATACCTTTCATTGGATAACAACACGTTTGAGATTTTGACCTTGACCTTGGGTTTTGACCTATTTTTACAAACTTCAACATTGGCCATTCCTTTTCTAGGGTAAGGGCTCTGGTTACCATACTTTACATATGAAATCCTTGTGACAAGACCTTTCATTGGATTTCAACAACTTTGACCCTTTGACTTTGACCTTGGAGTTTGCCTTACTTTTAATAAACTTTAACCTTGATCATAGTTTTGAATTGTAAGGGATATATTTTCATATTTAACGTATGTAATCATTGTTACAAGACCTTTCAAAGGATAACCACATTTGATCCTTTGACCTTAACCTTGTAGTCTGGTCTACTTAAAAGAAATAAACTTGGTAATAACTTTTTAAGGTCATGGGCTAGGGCTTTCATATTTCTCAAAATAAATTCTTGTGAAAAGGATTTATATTGGATAATTACTGCATAATTCTATCATAAATTTAGATCAGAAATAAAATAGGTATAGTATGCTCTGTATTTCTGTAAAATTAAACAAGATAAAATCAGGACTTTATATTTACATTTTACCTTCCTAGTGAAAATGATTTATTTAATTACACTTACATCGTAAACTCGGGGAATCTGAAAGAGATATTCAATGTATTGTGTTAAATAATAAAAGCTTTGATAAAATGATGGAATAAGATGGGTTTTTTTTGACAAGACAGCACTTTGAGGTATAAAGTTTATGTTAAATTTTTGAAGGAAGAAGTAAGCTAAGGGGAACCTTAAAGATTGGTATCTACATTCAGTTGTTGCGAATTGTCGCAATTTTAATGTATTTTCTAGAAATTGAATGATGTACAGGTATAATCTAGAATGTTCTAAATGTTTCGTGAATTAATTATCAAGAAGTCTCTAGAATATTTAAGAATGTGATGATCTAGAATTTTATCGAAGTTTCTATTTCTAGATGTTTCTTCGATACTATATATATGAGAGTTTTTGTGATCTTGATAACTATTGAGTTTATCGATTTTGTATTGAGTTTACATTGAAGAAATATTGAATACATATCAGAAACCATCTGATTATCTTAGCCAATGTGGTATTTTGATTGTTAACCCTTGTGGATTTGTTATTGCCTTTAATCGTCATAATAAATTATAAAAAGAAGATTTCCGTGTGATTGTGATTCGCCACATTGTTTGGTGCCGGAACCCGGGAATTGGAGCCTAAAATCAAGAAGTTATCACGGAAAAGAAGAAGATGTCAACCTCATACTTGAAAGGACTTTGTACAAGGTACAAGAATCTACTGCTGAAGGAAATGATCAAAAGTAAGACATTTCTTTCTTCAGAAGCTGAAGAAGAGGATTTGACAACCAGGATAAGGCAGATTCAATCTTCCTTGAGACGGTTAAAGGACTTTAGTGCTAAATTAGAAGAATCGATGAAAGAACTTTCCATTGCCTTGGAATCAAAACAAGACAATGAGTCTGAAATTGAAAAATTTACAGAAGATAGTGAGAAGTTGTTTGAATTGCTCACAGATGTTACAGAGCGCTCAGAAGAACTTCTCCTATTGGAAAAAAGACTGGAACAAGTGGACATTCCATATATGAAAAGTGAAGCACCAAATGACCCACGAATCGACCACATGATAGATTTGCAGACAAAAATGCAGGAACAACTGATGCATTTCCAAGAACTCCAGATTCAGGAACTGCACAGAAAGGAGAAGATTTGCAAAGAGACTCCAGTAGTTAAACTACCAAAGTTTGAGCTCCATTCATTCAACGGAGACAAGTTAAAGTGGAAAGAGTTCTGGGACTCCTTTGAAGCTTCCGTACACAAAAACACAAGGCTTTCCAATATTGAGAAGTTCAACTACTTGAAAAGTAAAATGGAAGGAAAGGCACAATCTGCTATTTCCGGCCTCATGCTCTCCCGTGAAAATTATGATGTAGCTCTCTCCATATTGAAGGAACGATTCGGAGATGTGCAGTCTGTAATTAACAAACATTACGTGGACCTTATAAACATTAAGCCTGCACTTAATAATACTTCCAGTCTCCGTAGACTATTTGATGATTTAGAAAAGCATATGCGCAGCCTAGAAGCATTGGAACAAGACGTAAACCAGGATGTCTTTGTTTCCATGATTATAACGAAGTTACCAAAAGAAGCCAGATTACAATTAGAAATACAGAAAGGAAAGAAAGAGAAGTGGACTGTGCAAAAGCTGAGAATGTTTCTTGATACTACATAGCAGCCAGAGAGTCTACAGATATGGAAAACCTAGCCGGTCATGAAGAACAACCTGCTAGAAAACCCCCATCACCTGGAATGCTATATGAACATGAAAGAAAACATACATCTGCAGAAGCCTTAACAACATCATTTAAAGAATCTCCAAGAAGAAACAAAATTCAAAGAAAGTATCCCATTTGTATCTTCTGTGAACAAAATCACTGGAGTGACGAATGCCAAGAATTCAGGACAGTTGAAGACAGAAAACAGAAGATTAAGGGAAGATGTTACATTTGTCTTAGGCCAGGTCATCTTAGCAAAGACTGCAAAGTCGACAAACCATGTTTCCATTGCCATCAGACAAAGAAACATCACCGAAGTCTCTGCAACAAGAAAATGCTGCCTTTGAGAGAAACCTCACACTTTGTTGAAACATCCGAACTATGTGACTCAGAAACAGTTAACAATGTTCGAGAAAACAGCCTACTGTCATCAGGAAGTATGGTCCTAATGCAAACTGCAAAAATTGATGCATCAGATCTGATTGGATCGAGATTTGAAACAATCAGAATTCTCATGGACTCTGGATCTCAAAGAACGTATGTTACCGAGGAATTAGCTTCAAAATTGAATTTGAAAAGAAAAAGAACAGAGGAAATATCACTTGTCACCTTTGGATCCACGAAACCAAAAATAGTAAAAACTCCAAATGTATCTTTAAGAATTAAACTGAAGGATGGACACTATATAAGAATTGAAGCAAATGTTGTGCCTCAAATAACCGGACCAATACACAGAAGACCGTTATCACCTAACATCATTGAAAAGGTACAGTGCCAATGGAAACATCTACAGTTTGCAGATACCTTACCAAAAACTACAGAGAATTCAACCATAGACATCCTTATTGGGAATGACTATTATCTTGATTTGGTATCATCAGAAAAAATTGAAGTTGACCATGGACTTTACTTGCTCTCATCAAAGGTAGGATGGATTCTCACTGGAAGAATGAATGATGACAAGGCTTTAAAAAACTTTAACGACACAATAAAACTAGTCAATGGTAGATATCAAGTCACTTGGCCCTGGAAGGATGAGCAACCTGAACTCCCAGAGAACAGAGAACTTGCTTTTGGAAGGTTGAAATCTCTACTTCAAAAATTAAAAAAGAACCCTGAGCTGCTTCACCAATATGATGGAATAATTCAGGACCAGTGCAAGCAAGGCATAATTGAAAAGGTGACAAAGAGCAGTGAAGTGAAGAATAGTATCAAACACTACATACCCCATCATGCTGTCATTGATCCAACAAAGCCTACCACAAAAGTACGGATCGTCTATGATGCATCGGCAAAGGTCAAACCAGAGTGTAACAGCCTTAACGAGTGTCTTTACAGAGGACCAGTAATGCTAAATGATTTGTGTGGACTGTTGATGAGATTTAGAATGAAAAGGATTGCAATTATTGCTGACATAGAAAAGGCATTTCTACAGATTGAATTACAAGGAAAGGACAGAGATGTGACAAGATTTTTTTGGTTAAAGGATATTGAAACTCCATCCACAGAGAACAATATTCAAGTATATAGATTTACGAGAGTTCCATTTGGAGTTATATCAAGCCCTTTTCTATTAGCTGCAACTTTAGATTACCATCTTGGAAACTACAACACTGCAACAGCTGAAAACATAAGAAGCAATATTTACGTGGATAATGTTATCACTGGTGTAGAGTCCGTCTCAGAGGCTAGGAAACTATATACAGACGCCAAAGAGATCTTCAGTACCATGTCAATGAATTTACGAGACTGGGCATCTAACTCCACAGAATTTAGCCAGTGTATTCCTCAAGCTGATCAAGCAAACAGAGAAACCATAAAAATTCTTGGTTTGTCTTGGAAACTTTCTGAGGACTCCCTATTCATAAACAGTCCAAAAGATGAAACTCATATTCCACCTATCACCAAGAGGAAAGTCCTTCAAAGAATTGCTTCTGTTTTTGATCCACTTGGATTCTTCACCCCAGTTACTTTGAGAACAAAGTTGTTTCTACCAACATTATGGAACCAAAAGAAAGAGTGGGATGAAGAACTGACCAAAGAAGACATTCAGCGCTGGGAAAATATATCCGCAGACCTGGATGATATTCCCAATTGCCCTATTCCTCGTTTTATAGGACTCACTGGTACAGTGACATACAAATTAATGTGCTTTTGTGATGCATCAACTAAAGCGTACGCCTGTGCGATCTATTTACACCAGAGCAAAAAAGAAAGAAGTACTGTCAACCTGTTGTTTTCAAAAACTCGGTTAGGGCCATTCAAGAAAATAACACTGCCTAGATTGGAACTATTGGCTGTTGTCATTGGAGTCCGCTGCATTAACTTTGTTGAACAACAACTGAAGTTACCTGTCACAGAAAAGATCCTTTGGACCGATTCCCAATGTGTATTACATTGGATAAGAATGAAGAAACCTCTTAAAACTTTTGTGGAAAACAGAGTAAAAGAAATCAGAAACAACAAAGATATCACTTTTCAATATGTGTCTACAAAGGATAATCCAGCTGATATTGCAAGCAGAGGAACAGCAGTTAAAACTCTTCAAGAATTTGAACAATGGTGGAATGGTCCAGAATGGTTAATTAAAAGGAAAGACAATTGGCCTTCATGGAACAGTCAACAAACCTGTAAAGAAATGCAGAGTGTCATAGAATCAGAATGCAAGACTCCAAAGATAGTTTATGAAGCAAAACTGGTGGCTGGGGAGAGTCCTAACGGAAGAAATAACAACTCAGATTCTGAATCAACTGGATATCCAAACATCATTGACTACCAAAATTTTTCATCATTTATAAACCTTACTCGAGTTTTAGCATGGACTCTTAGGTTTATCAAAAGAGTGAAGAAAATTCCAATGCCATGGAACCATCTAACTTACTCAGAACTACAGAATGCTAAAATTCTTATAATCAAGAATATCCAGACTCAAAACTATGGTGATGTCAAAACCTCACTCAAGGAAAATAAGAGAAATAATTTAATTAGTCAATTAGGACTTGTATTGGATCAGGAAGGGATTATCAGATGCATTGGAAGACTCAAGCATGCTCAGCTGACAGAAGGTGCAAGATCTCCTATCCTCCTTCCAAGAAAGAACCATGTGACGGGACTGATTATTGATTACATCCACAAAAAATCATTTCATGTTGGAGTCTCCCAAACACTGTCACTGGTTCGTCAAGACTACTGGATTCCGCAGGGAAGAGCAGAAGTAAAAAGAATACTTCATAAATGCACAATCTGTAAGCGGTTTGAGGGTGGTCCATACAAGATGCCACTGATGCCTCCACTACCAAAGAAACGTGTGAGTGAATCAGCACCATTTACGTACACGGGAGTGGATTACTTTGGACCAATCTTCATCAAAACAGAAACTGGCAATAAAAAGGTATGGGTCTGTCTATTTACCTGCTTGGTAGTAAGGGCCATACATCTTGAACTCATGCAGGACATGTCCACAGAACAGTTTCTCCTAGGACTAAGGAGATTTATTGCGCGTTGGGGCAAGCCAAAACAAATTATCTCTGATAATGGTGCTCAATTTAAACTTGCAAGCCTGGTTTTGGATAAAAGTTGGGAAAAGGTTACGTCTGATAATGATGTCCAAAGTTATATTGCAAATGAAGAGATTCAGTGGCAATTTATTGTGGAACTGGCACCATGGATGGGAGGATTTTATGAACGTCTGGTTGGTGTTGTCAAACGAAGCTTAAGAAAAACTATAGGAAAACTTTGTTTAACAAATGAGCAAATGAGAACGATGCTTGCAGAAGCTGAAGCAGTCGTGAATTCGAGACCCTTAGTCTATATTGGAGACGATATTAATTCAAACATCACCCTTACTCCAGCGCATTTCCTCACTTTGAATCCAAAAATAGGACTTCAAGATAGTGAAAATTTTGATCCCATGGACCCAGATTATGTACCTGTTGCAAGCTCTGTAAACACTTTACTGGCAATTTGGAAAAAAGGTCAACGACTTTTAGATACATTCTGGAGGACATGGAGAGATGAGTATCTTTTAAGTCTAAGAGAAAGAACATCCTATAAATTAAAAGGAAAACGGATTCAAGACAACAGGCCGGTACAAATTGGTGATGTTGTCCTCATCAAAGAAGATCTCCCTAGAGGAAGCTGGAAGATTGGAAGAATTTGCGATTTGACAATGAGTAAAGATGGACAATACAGGTCCGGAAAGGTAATGTTACCTAACAAAAGAACATTAAACCGACCGTTAAATTTACTTTATCCCATAGAATGCACCGATAAATCTGACCTTGGTGATAGTGATATGACGAAGGAAGAGCCAGCAGTCGATGGTATTCCTCCATTACCTAGAGCAAAAAGGCAGGCCGCTGAAAGAGCGACAAAACTGATAAAGGAACAATTAAATTAACTTTCCTTGGTCTTGGGAGTGTTGCGAATTGTCGCAATTTTAATGTATTTTCTAGAAATTGAATGATGTACAGGTATAATCTAGAATGTTCTAAATGTTTCGTGAATTAATTATCAAGAAGTCTCTAGAATATTTAAGAATGTGATGATCTAGAATTTTATCGAAGTTTCTATTTCTAGATGTTTCTTCGATACTATATATATGAGAGTTTTTGTGATCTTGATAACTATTGAGTTTATCGATTTTGTATTGAGTTTACATTGAAGAAATATTGAATACATATCAGAAACCATCTGATTATCTTAGCCAATGTGGTATTTTGATTGTTAACCCTTGTGGATTTGTTATTGCCTTTAATCGTCATAATAAATTATAAAAAGAAGATTTCCGTGTGATTGTGATTCGCCACATCAGTTACGTATGTTACATACGAGTGTTGTTCGAAGAGTTTATGGACTAATGCGATAAAATTATTATTATGTAGTGTATGGTTCTTTTTTTCAGGAATATCAACCAACAAAAGGTAGATATGTTGAAAATTTAACTTAGATACCTTGAATATTTATCAAATTATCATGAAATTAAAAAGATATAAAATGATTACGTGGCGTTGTAGCCATTTAGTTTCATGTCATTGTTTCTCGAGGTCCGTATTTCCTACGTCACACACTTAATGAGATTCTGTGAAATTAATTAAAGATTTAGATCGGACTTTTTTTTTTTTTTAATTTTTTAAATTTTTTTTTTCATTTTTTATTTATTTTTTTTTTTTTGGTTTGTTTGTTGTTGTTTTTTTTAATTGTACAATTTCATGAACAGCCGATTTTAATGCATATAATATTGTAAATAAATATATAAATAGTGAACGATCTTACTTTGATTAAAACAACATATTTGAATTTCGGACTTAAACCTCTATAACACTTTATCAACGTCACTTTTCGAGGTGACAAATTTGAACAACCTTACTAAAAATTGATATTAACTTCTACATCTCTCGTTTCTGTAATCTTTTTTTTTGGCATTTCAAACAAGTACTATGAATCATTTTATTTTTTCTCATATAAATATTTCCGAGATCTATGCCAATATTTCCAGGGAAAAAATATCTATAGAATATCGAAAAAAGAAACTATCCCCTTTCAGACACGTCATTACAATCCATAAATTAATTGACATTTCGTATAAAATTTATAATAAAATTTCAATGAACTTACAGAATGGCATATAAACTGCAAATTTTACGGTACAATATTGTCAAAGTACATGAGTGAATTAAAGATATTTTTGGATAACCAATACTCATATAAAACGTTTTTTTTTTCCTCAGTCACACTTAGTTTTAAAAACGTAATCGGCGAGGTTGCACCGCTTGGACATACCATTGCTTTCAAAACCTCAACTATTTACATGTTATAAAAATAAAACTAACGATGTATAGTTTATCAAACAAGTAAAAAAGTACGATGGCCGATATGAGCCGTCAAATTACAAGTCAGAGTAGCTCTATTATGTACGCAGAATCAGTTGCAAAACACAAGAAGTCGTAGTAGTAATTTGTACATGTACAAATCTTGAGACAAAATACACTCGAGACTACTTACCATTCCTTAAATTTATTGGGAAGATTATTTGTAAACTTTGAAGGGGCAAAATCAAAAACATGTGTTTCTGATTTTTCTTCTATTTTATAAAATAAATGCTGTGTACCTCACTTCAATTGATCACAAAATGCCCACCTTTTTTGATGACAGGCAGCAGTTTAGAGCATTTTGTATATGTCTTCCAAACTTATGATGTTTATAAGGGGGTCAACTTAAAATGCATGTATATTGTACCTTGTGAAAGATTACATGGTTTGAATTATTATTCTAGTCTGGTTGACCCCCCTTTTGCCTATGTACATCATGTTACAATGTCATTATAGTGCTGGGGGTCAGATTGTGTAATATTTTGACTAAGATGTGTAATATTCTATATTTGAGTCCTCCTTTTCCTGACCCCGATTTTGTTAACTGTGTTTTCCTTTTCCGTCATTTACTTTAATAAATGACATATTTCACTTCAGCATGATGTTATTTGTTTTTGCCTGTTTATCAAAAAACAAGCTCAGTCGTTTGGCTGGAGAACTAAGGAACATAAAATGTATTGTTTTCGTTTTTGATCTCATTGAATATTTTGTGTCTCTTTTCAGATTCCTCTGAGTTTTTTTTTTATTTTAACATTTACGACAACAAAATCTTAACCTTCATTCATAGGCCGCAAGATACTTTTTAAAGATGATCTCCGTGAGAAATGTTTTTTTTTTTTTTTACATAATATACTTTACCCTCTTACCATATTACTTTTTTCTTCATTATTAGTTTTCTTATTGGAACGAAGAAATATTTTTTAGATTTCTGTAAACTTAGACGGAGAAGCACGTGTTTTTGTTCTTAATTTTTTTTTATTGCGAATGGGTAAACACATGTAAATGATGTATGTCAATACTTGTAAAGGTGATTGGACACAGATTTGAAGTTAATATTTTCTGTATAATATCAAGACATATATATTTTAATAGCATTTCACACAAAAATATTATTTAAAGAAAATATTTCATCTTTAAGTTATTGAAATTTAAAATGATTGACACATCCTTGCACTCAGCGATCTAAGCTGTCGGGATTTTTCCATCATTGAAGGCATATTTTATGAGAGTCGTTATTCAGATTCCATAGTAAATGAGCTGCATTTTATGTAAAACGTTGACCGGAATGATTTAAAATGTATTAGAAGTATGTAATTTAGGAATGGGAGGTCTGAAATATTTTACCAAGTCACGTGAGAGAATGGAATGTAAGAAAGACTATATAAATGCATGCAGGAAAAAAGTTTTATCATTCACACTTAAGACTTTGAAAATGGAAGACGCACATAGTGAAACTTTGAGAAGAAACCATTCGATGTTGGTGAGGGAGATGTCTCCTGAGTTAGTAGCGGAAAAGTTATACAGTGACAGCATTTTAACTCTAGAGATGAAAGAAGTTGTATTAGCACAACTTACTCGATTTGCCAAGACCAGAAAGATCTTAGAGTATCTACCAAGACGAGGAAAGAGGGCTTTTTTTTCATTCTGCCACGCACTGGAAGAAACAGGACAATCTGAGCTTGCCAACACATTGCGACAAGGTGTATTCAGCAACGCAAGAGAACCTACCAACAACCCAACAACTTCCAGTCCTAACAATAACAAGAAGACGTATACGCAATTATGTCAGTTTCATCTAGGAGGTGAAATCTATGTCACAGGCAGCCTATGCGAGAACGACAACGTTATACAGATTCACATTCGTCAGTATGGTGGAGAAAATCGTAAACCCTATCCTACCAAGAAAGGTGTTACGCTGTCCTTAAAAGAGTGGCTCGTGTTAGAGGGATTTCTTAACGGTATGGAAGCAGCTTTGATAAAGTATTGCGAACGTGATTGCGAAGAGAAATGGCATCTGGGCAGTAATATTTACATTACTGCTTCAAAAGAATTCCCGCTATTGGATTTCCGCCATTTTTGGAAACCAGACCCTAATGGAGACTTCGTCCCTACTACAAGAGGTGTGAAACTCAACCGAGCAAAGCTACAAAATCTGAAAAATGTGACATCAATCATCAGGGATTACATTCCTCAGCTTATGTTCCAGGACCATACGGAGTACCCCATTCTCCCTACTAGTATTGACTTTCAGTCTTTAGAAGGCCTTCTTAGCATTTCAGATGAAAATTTCTGAAATTGCTAAAATATTTCTGAATGGGTATATATAGCCGAACAGTTACCAAATCAAATCATTAATCTACACTAGCACAGACCAGTTCACTATGGAACGAATAAGTGAGAGACATTGCAGACAGATGATAAGACATTATAATATGATTTTTGCTGTGGAAATTGTCGATTTACTGAGTGATATAGTATATGAACAGTGTTATGGATGTTCTGTCGATCATCCAAGCCAAGTGCAACACTCATGCATCATGGAGACCAAACTAACCCACTTGTGCATGTATTTTAGTTTAGCAGTTGAAAAAGTCGACAAAGACATCGTTATGGAAAAATGGCTGGAGGAAATCAAATCTTGGAATAATGCAATAGCTGTCGACAGGGATATGGTGATTTCCTGTAAATGGATCGAAAGACATGTTCCTGATACGGAATCCTGGCGAGAAGAAATTATGAGAATTTGTAAAAAGATGTTGAAGTTGCAATCACGATGTTTTTTTCTGTGAATTAGCTCAAAGTATTTGATTTGTACATAACTTATATATATTCAATGATAATAATTATATGTTTAAAGTGAATTTGACTGTCTTGGTGAATAGACTGTGAAAATGACTTCAACTGAGGGTAAATATTGCTGTGTTTGCATTTGTAGTTATGTGTATATGCATTCGTACTTTATTGTAATAAAGTTTTCTACTTTCAAATTTGTTATTATTTCACGTTTCCAGGTGTTAATTCAAGGAATGCAATTGATAAATTGTTAAAGAGAGAGTATTATAATATGAAGTCGTCAGGTTCTTATTATGGGCCATCAAAACTGCATAAATCTTTGAAGGCACGTGGAATCCATATTGGAATTCACAAAATAAGAAAATGGTTGAATAATCAAGATGATTACAGTTTGCAAAAACCAGCTCGACACCCTGTCAAAAGAGCAAGAGTTGTTGTATCGGGTATCGACAATCAGTGGGATGCTGATCTGGCAGATATGTCTTCTCTGTCAAAATTTAATAAGGGTATTAAGTTTTTACTGGTTGTGATTGACATATTTTCACGATTTATGTGGGTTCAGCCATTAAAAAATAAAACTGGTAAAGAGGTGGTAGAAGGATTTAAACAGATTTTACAAAAGGGTCGCAAATGTAAAAAACTGAGAACGGACAAAGGTAGTGAATTTACAAACCGATGGTTGCAGGAGTATTTAAAATCTCAAGATATATACTTTTTTACAACTCAAAATTCAGACACCAAGGCCAATTATTCTGAGCGTGTTATACAGACTTTAAAGTCTAGAATATATAGATACTTTACGAAAAATAGAACAAAACGATATATAGACGTTTTACCAGATATAGTACAGAGTTATAATGAAACCCCGCACACATCTTTAAATAATATTTCACCTAAAGATGTGACTAGAAGAAATGAAGCCGATGTTTGGGCCTTTCAGTATTTGAAACCTGTAAAGACAAAAGTTGTTAAACTAGCTCCCTTTAAACTGAAAATGAATGATATGGTTAGAATAAGCCACGAAAATGCCGTTTTTAAAAGAGCATACAACGAGCAGTTTTCCAAGGAAATATTTAAGGTAGTGCAACGATTTCGCATGCAAGGCATTCCAATGTATAAAATAAAAGACTTTTCAGACGAGTCGATCAAGGGAAATTTTTACGAGTCAGAGCTACAAAAAGTTGATAAAAATGAAGATTCCCTTTGGATCATTGACAAAAAAATTCGAAAGCGCACTGTAAATGGCAAGGTTGAATATTTCGTGTCTTTTGAAGGGTGGCCGAGTAAATATAACATGTGGATTTCTGCTAGTGATATCAATGATTTAAAAGACACAGAACAATCAACATGAGTATTTACACCATTGTAAGCAGTGATGCTTCCCTACAGTATTTTCCTCAAAATAAGGCATATCATTTCAAGTGTCATTTAAATACACCGCTAAATTTAGAAGGACTTTGGAAAGTCGCTTTACTAGAAGCAAATATTTCTACTAGCAATCATCTGAAAGCGCTTAAGACGTTATATGTCTACTCCAATATATGTGGAGAGTCAATTGTAGATGGTGACAAACAGCCCATCCTCAGAAAATTAATGGGTAATTCACCTGACAATTGGGATGTCATTTTCAACGTAGGACATTACATGCCAGTAAAAATAAACAGCATTACTGATATCGAAATCTATATAACCACTAGAGAAGGCGTTTTAGCCTCATTTTTAGATCAACCGACCAGCATTACACTTCATTTCAAAGCCTTCCCATTCATCTAAACATGGATTTATTAACTAAAAAAATGTATGTACCAGACCCTAAAAAGTGGATTGACTACTATAGAAATGTATCGAATGGACATATAAATCCATACATCGCTTACGGGAAGAAAAATCAAACTGGAGGAGCTTTGATGGGTTCAACAAAACAGTTTATGATACCTATTGAGAATAATACCCATGTAATACCACCACAAGACTTACCAAAATTACACCTTGTATCTCCTGTCGAACAAGTTGTACAGCAAGCAAAAGACGAGCTCGAGAAAGGTATAAAAAGAAACAGCAATGAAAACATAGTCATTTCTACTCAGAAGCGTCGGAGACACAACACGTCTAAAGTACGCAAGTCAAGCAAAGCTAAAAAAGTTGGTAAAAAACCGCCACCTCAAAAGACGAAACAACACCAACAGAAATTTAAGAAAGCTCGTGCGCAGAAATCTAAAAAATTCGGTCAACTGAAATCTAAGAAAACAAAGCAGTCACCTAAAACAAAACAAGTTAAAAAACGCTCATCTAAGAAGAACAAGCTTGAGAGTTTTGACGATTTATTTGCATAATGGCGACTGAATACTTTCAAGATGCACAGCCAAGCAGTCTAGACTTATTTTCCTTACCCCCTACCCAGACTGCCATTGACAAGATTTATTATCAAGAAATCAGACCCATATCTCAGATCAGTGGAAATTCGCCGATAGAATTTATCATTTCTGGTCAAAATGGAATGGAATACGTAGACTTGAAGCAGAGTAAACTGTACATCAAAGCCAGAATTGTTCACAGCAATGGATCCCATTTAAACGGAACAGAATATGTAGGTCCCGTTAATTTACTGGCAGGTTCTCTGTTTTCTCAAGTAGATGTCACACTTCAAGGAAAATCAGTAACCTCAACAACAAATCATTACCTATATAAGTGCATGTTTGAGACCCTACTCTCTTACGGATCAGATGCAAAAACATCCCAGCTCACATCTCAGCTCTTTATCAAGGACACCCCTGGCGCTCTGGACGATGCTGATGTAAGAAGTGGTCAAAATAATGGGTTGTACTCTCGGTCTGTATATTTTCAAGACTCAAAGACTGTTGATTTAGAAGGACCCCTCTATTCAGATATATTTAAGATGGATCGTTACATACTGAACCAAGTGTCCATCGGTGTGCGACTCTATCGTTCGAAGGGGGAATTCTGTCTTATTACCAACGAGACTGATGCAGACTTTCACGTCATCATAGATGACATCCTTTTGAGAGTCTGTAAACTACAAATCAACCCTGCTCTCATCTATGGACATGCCGAAATTCTACAGAAAACCCCAGCTTTGTATCCCGTATACTAGAACCGAAGTCAAAATAATGGCCATTCCAACAGGACAAGTTACTTTCACCTGGGACAACATGTTTCAAGGTATAAGACCAAATCAACTGGTTGTAGCTTTTGTGGATTCTGCCGCCGTAGCAGGGACCTATTCAACCAACCCATTTAATTTCAAGCACTATGATTTGAATCGGATAGGTCTGTACGTGGACAACATTCCCGTGGGGGGCAATCCTCTTAGACTTAATTATGATGATTCTAGCGGACAGACCATTCTCCCCGCCTTTGACAGTATGTTTGAAGTGATGGGGAAATGGATGCAAGACTCGGGGAACCAGTTAAACAGAGACGATATTGCCCAGGGTTACGCCCTCTACTGTTTCGACATTGAGCCTCGGATCACATCTCAAGAAAATTATACCACCTTATTAAAACAAGGAAATACACGTATCGAAGCTCAGTTTAGTAAAGCGCTACCGAATACTGTCACGTGAATTGTCTACGCCACATTCCCGGCCCTGTTTAAGATTACAAGTTCCAGAGACGTCATTGTAGAATGAATACGGAACAATTACAGCGCGCCATACAATGTGATGTCTACATGAAGAGTTGCATATTAGGAGTATTTCCTGTTGATCACATACCACTCCATTTACCCCTTGGAACGGGAGTGATTGTGAACACAGACCAAGGATATTTACCCGGACGTCACTGGGTTGCTTTTTATCTTAATCAGCAGAATGAATTGGAATGCTTTGATTCGTTTGGGAATTCACCGGCTGTATATTCTACGTATTTGAGACAGTTCATGAATAGATTTTCTAAGACTAACATTAATCGAAGACGTTTACAAAGTAGAAACACTAATGTATGTGGACAATATTGCTTACTGTATTTAATGTGTAGATGTAGAGGACTTTCTGTTCATTATTTTTACCATCTATTTTATAATCAATCAAGCATTAATGATGAATTTGTATATAATCTGATAAAAAGAAACTTTGAGTGTTGTTTGTATGATTGTAATCATGGTCAATGCAGTGTTTCTGAAAATAAAATAATGTAAAACTTTTTTTATATTTATATGTGCATTTAAGGTTTGTAATGCATTTCAATAAATACTATCAACGATGACTGACGTATGTTGGAACAAAGAAAGTTTGATACCTTTAGAAGCACCCACAAGTATTTTTGTGGTAGGGGTGAGCGGTTCTGGTAAAAGTTACTTCACCCGAGAAATATTGAAACATGCTGATGGGATGTTTAAGAAACCTGTCATTCGAATCATGTTTTGCTATAGTGTATGGCAAGACTTGTACGATCAAATGAAACAAGACATGCCTTTCATAGAGTTTTACAAAGGGTTCCCTCCGGCTGATGAAATGCATGAATGGGGAAATACTAGGGGGCATAAAATATTAGTGTTAGACGACCTCATGATAGATGCTGCCGACAACTTGGACATGGTGCATTTGCTTTGTGTTGGATCACATCATTATGATATAACTGTCATTCATTTAATGCAAAACTTATTTCATAAGGGCAAAGCTATGCGCACCGCTTCCCTAAATTGTCATTATTTCATCTTGTTCCCGTCCTACAGAGATCGATTACAAATCCAATCCTTTGGTAAACAGCTTTTCCCGGGGAAAAGTAAATATTTTATGGACGCTTTTGAAAAGGCCACAGCTAAGCCGTACGGTTATTTACTGGTAGATTTAAATCCACATTCCAACAAAGCGTATCAGTTGCGCACTGACATTTTACCTGGACAGGTCACTAAAGTTTTTCAACCAAAATGAATGAAGAAAAAATAAGGTCTCTTTGTTTGTTTTTATCATCGAGTCCAAAGCAGCAAGTTACACACATATTAAAAACCATCACGAAAGACCAACTTCAAATTATCCTCGAGATATTATATAATATTGCTAATGGTGTACTTACTATTACTAATGAAGATAAGCAAAAATTTAAAAAACATAAAACCATGCTGCGAAAAATCATCGCACCAGACGTTAAGTGGACTTCAAGGAAGAAACTATTGTGGAAAATTAGACATTTGATACCTCTCATTATTCAAAGCTACCTAAAACATGTCAAGAGAACTCGTATTGATTCCAAAGAAAAAATATGAAGAGCTACTCGAGCAAAGAATGGTTAATTCCCAACATGGTGAGGGATTGGAGACAGACGATCAGTCCAATATTTCAGCGCAGAAGTTAAATGATGATTTTTCAGAAACGAAGTCTCTTGTTAGTGAGGAAAATAAAAGCATGAAAAAGGAGGATAACAAACCGAAAGAGAAACTATATAGCTACGTAAAAATGAAGCCAGCTACATTTGCAGAGAAGTCCAAACATGTTCAAAATAAAGAATGGCTGACATTTGTTATTTGACTGTAGCATTTGTACATTGTTAAGTCTTCAATCCCTTCAATGACTTTTAAATCTTGAGACATGCAGTAAAAGGATTTACCTGTGTGATACCATCTCTAAGTAACCTTTATTCAAGATTTAATCGACTATGTTGGAAAATGTAATAATCTTCAGATTTTTTTTCACAATAAAAGTATTGATGGTGTTTGATATTTATTATTTCACTGATGAAGGTAGATATGGCCGGATCATTTGTTTTTGCTCATTTTGAATTTTTACAAAATCTGGGTAGAGAGCCTAATGAGCGCAACAGAATAATGCTCATACGAGGGTTTAATGTTGATACTATGAAAGCCCTTTCTACTGTCATAGCCTTCATACTAAATAACAATGTCCCTACTCTATCTTACGATCAAAGAATTTTTCGGGAAAACCGCAGTGTTCTGAGACATATGATAAGCCCATTAATTCCCCTCTCGAGAAAAAAGAGGACTCTGGAAAGATATAATAAACTGATTCCCAGACTTCTCCGTGAGCATTATATCATAAACACATGTCTATATGAATTAAGGCGGAGTCTTGACATGATCTAAATAAAATTTATTAGAGTGAAAACTATTTTTTTTTTCTATCGTGAGGAATGCAGTAGTTCCCTTATCGACAAATTTGGCGCATTATGCAATAGCAAACTGGAATTTAAAGGTATGCGGTATTTCCAATCATTTTAGCGCTGGAATGTGGTACATGGTTTTTAAACCTTTCATAACACATACAGTATATCAGGCAATTCGGAGTGACACTTTCTCATTTCATTACCAGTCATGGAGTTACCAAGTCGTGAAAAAATTAATTCCAAAAGGAAAAGAGACGAAAACGATGATTTTAATAGTAGTGATGATGATGTGTCATGTGATGAGTTAGAGTCTACCGAACGGAAATGTAAGAAATTCAAACAATCAGAGAGTAATTTTTTGTGTGATGTGTGTGGAAAACAATTAAAACATAGGCAAAGTTTTGACAATCATATGCAATCCCATATTTCATCTTTTTCCTGCAAATGTGGAAAAATATTTAAACACAAACGAAACCTTGCCATGCATCAAAAGCGATGCTTGAACAGAGTGTGTACTTTTAATTGCAATCAATGTGACCAGAGGTTTCCCACATTTCGGGATTTGTCATCACACATGGATAATGAGCATCGTCAAAGGGGAGGAAGAGCACCAGTAACAGTAGAAGAAATTTCATATTCAGACCAACCGTCTTCTTCTGAAGATCAAGACAAAAAACTTTTGAATACCGTAGAGAGAAGACCTGCGCTTAACGGTACAGCACAACAATTCATTCTGCGTCCGGAAAACGATGCTGAAAAATATGATGCGCTTCGTTTTTACAGCGCTTTAAAATCGAAAATAAAACACATCTTGACAGAACAAAAAAAGAAATTTCGAGACATAAAATTCTATTTGAACACTAGAGTAAGGATGGTGAGACAGAGAGAAGTGGAAGGAGAAGAATTTACCATTCCCCACTTTAGAAGTCGCACATTCACTTCCCTCAATAATGATGAAGAAGAACATGATTTGAACAGGGCTTTTCAACAAATGCAAAATGCTATGAAGGAATTTGTACATCAGGGTTCGAATTGGCGCATGGATTTTGTCATAGGATTAGAACTAAACATAGTACCTTACAAACCTCTCTCGGCTAAGAAAATATACAAGTCTCTCCCCTCAAGAAATTCAGCACCTCAAAGGAATTGTCAACATTCAAAACCATGATGAAAAGTGCTTTTTGTGGTGTGTTTTAGCTGCTTACATCCTGTTCAAAAACGCACAAAGAGTTCAACATTATATTTCCTTTGAAAACGAACTTAATATGAATGGAATCTCTTTTCCAACCCCACTTTCACAAATCAAAAAGTTTGAGGAACAAAATAAGATCTCCGTCAACGTATTCGGTTTTGAGAAGGAATTTTTCCCTTTATACATTTCTCAACTGGACCAAGCCACTGAGAACGTAGATCTGCTTTACTTGCAAGAAGACGGAAATAGCCACTTCTGTTTAATCAAAGATTTAAACCGCGTTTTGGGATCAATGAAGCGATGTAAGAATAAGACTTATTTCTGTCGACGATGTTTACACGGTTTCATTCGAGAAGATTTATTAAAGGATCACATGTCCTATTGCCAACAATTTGACTGTCAGAAAGTAGAATACCCTACTGAAGGTAAAAATAACATTTTGAAGTTTCAAAACTTTCACCAAAAAATGAGAGTACCTTTCGTCATTTATTGTGATTTTGAAACCCTGGTGCAGAAAATGCAAACATGTTCTCCCAACTCTGAAAAATCTAGCACAACCCATGAGGCCCACTTCGATCCTTGTGGGTATGCATATCAAGTCATATGTACCAATTCTAAATACACGAAACCACCAGTCGTGCACAGAGGGCAAACAGGAGAAAATGTAGTTGAGCATTTTCTAGACAGTTTACTAAGAGAGGAGGAATATATCAAGGATATCCTTTCGGATGATGAACCCCTCCTCATGACTAAGGAAACAGAAAAGCAGTTCCATTTAGCAACCCAGTGTCATATCTGCGAAAAACCGTTCAATGACAAAACCAAAAAGGTCCGCGATCATTACCATATTGGGGTGGAGGGGGATCGAGATTCTCCTGAATATAGCAATTTTCGAGGTGCAGCTTGCAACTCTTGTAATATCAATTTTCAAGAACCCAAATTTATCCCCGTTATCTTTCACAACTTGCGAGGATTTGATGGGCACCTCCTCTGTCAGCGTATGGGAAAACTAAAGGATAAAAACATTAAAGTCATTGCACAAAACATGGAGCGTTATGTGAGCTTTTCCGTGGGTGATTTACGCTTCATTGATTCATTTCAATTTATGACCAGCTCTTTGGAAACGTTAGTCAAGAATTTAGCCTGTGAAGGACTTTCACATTTCAAACAATTTACCAACGTTTTCACAGATGAAGAAACTGCTAGATTTATATTGCGAAAAAACGTATACTGCTACGATTACATTGATAATTATGATCGATTTGAGGAAATCGGTTTACCCTCTAAAGAGGCGTTTTACAATCGTCTTAAAAAAGAGGGAATTTCAGAGGAAGACTTTGCTTATGTTCAAGAAGTATGGCATAAATTTGAAATGAAGAACCTCGGAGATTTACACGACCATTATGTGCTCACTGACGTTCTCTTATTAGCTGATGTCTTTGAGCGATTCCGTGACATGACCCTGGATTACTACAAGCTTGATGCCTGCCATTATTTTACATCCCCCGGACTGGCTTGGGATGCTGCTTTGAAAATGACAGGGATTTCGCTAGATCTCATTACGGATCCTCTCATGTATAATTTTTTTGAACTGGGGCTACGCGGTGGAGTGTCTATGATCAGTAAAAAATTTAGCGAGGCAAATCATCCAGATTTTGAAAATTATGACCCTTCCAAACCTATAAAAAATCTCATTTACTTGGACGCCAATAATTTGTACGGGGGTGTCATGCGTTTCCCCCTCCCCATCGGCTTCATGCGCTGGTTAGATGAGAGTGAAAAGGACCATTTTGATGCTACAAAAGTTTCCATAGGCAGTAGGGTAGGCTACACTTTAGAGGTTGATCTGGAGTACCCTGCAGATTTGCACGATGAACACAATTGTTACCCTCTAGCCCCCGAACACAAACTAGTGCAGGACGAAGAACTTTCGCCTTACAGTCAACAACTTTGGGAGGAGCTACACGCGACAGACGGACTCTCAGTGCGAAAACGTGGAAAGACATCTAAACTAATTCCCACTTTAGAAAATAAGAAGCATTACGTCCTTCATTATCGAAACTTGCAACTTTATTTATCATTAGGGATGAAAGTTACTAAAGTACATCGAATTTTAGAGTATCGTCAAGAACCCTGGCTGAAAACTTACATCGATTTCAATTCCAGCAAAAGAAGAAATGCCAAAAATGACTTTGAAAAAGATTTCTTTAAATTAATGAACAATGCCGTATTCGGTAAAACTATGGAGAACTTGAGAAATCGTGTCGATATTAGATTAGTTCATACAGAAAGAAAACTGAAGAAATTATGTGCCAAACCATCTTTCGACCGTTTTAAAATATTCAATGAAGATTTGGTGGGAATTGAAAACAAAAATGTTAAGTTTCTCATGAACAAACCCGTTTACATCGGACAGACCATACTGGATTTGTCGAAGCTAATCATGTATGATTTCCATTACAACTTTATGAAAAGGATGTATGGGGATCAAATTCGGTTACTATTCACAGACACCGACAGCCTGATGTATGAAATAGAAACTCCAGATTTAGATGGAGACATAGCCAGACACAGAGACCTCTTCGACTTATCTAACTATCCATCCAATCATTCTCTTCATGACAACTCAAACAAAAAAGTGGTGTTGAAGTTTAAAAATGAAACAGCAGGTAATTTGAGAATTACATAATTCTTTTTTCTTTTTGCATTTTTTTTAAATAACCTTACTAGCTCATTTATGTTTCTGTAAGTATTCAAATCTTTTACTTTATTTTTTCAAGGTGTTCCAGTTCAACAATTTGTGGGCCTAAGACCAAAGATGTACTCTTTACTTTTAAACGATGGAGACGAAAAAAAGACGGCGAAGGGAGTCTCGAAATCCGTCATCAAAAATGAGTTAAAGCATTCCATATATAAAGACTGCTTACTCAACCGATCCAAATATAAACACAGCATGACTTTCATCCGCAGTGATAACCACGAACAAAACCTCATTATCGTGTTTTGATGATAAACGTTATGTAAAGTCGTGCGACGTCGAGACCTTGGCTTATGGACACTGCGATATAACCATTTGTAAAAATTTACAAGATTTATTCAATGGATAAAATCAAATATATGATGTACATAAGAACATTTTCTATCAAACAATATTCATTGTACATGTAGTTGAATATCGAATGCATTGTAAAATAATTAAAGTTTACATTAAATAGTAATCCACTGTATATACACTATGCAATTAATTGTACATTTTTAAAAGTTTATAATAAAATTAATCAAACAAATTAGATATTTTTTTTTATTTACAGTACATTTGTGGAATCAGTCTTGAAAAGAAAAAAAATGAACAAACTTCTTTTCTTGTTATGACTCAATTTTTGTATGGAGGTAATGAGGGAAGTGGAAAACTGCGGTGTTTTTTAAAACCTGGATTTTTAATCTTAAGCCCTTTCTTTACCTTTACAGGTGTAATAGGTTCGATCATTGGTGTGTAAGAATCTATATGAGGATGCGTGTGTGTGGTTGGAATGATGGCATCAGTTGATGTAAGGTTGGGAGGTACGATATCAGCTTTCTCTTCCACATTAATATGCATTGGAGGGGTAAGAAGTAGGCTATCGGGTGATGTTGATGCGAAAGGCGTGGTATCAGCTGTTGAGAGGGTGAGAGGTGTGGAATCGGTTGTTGAAGGTGTGCAACACGTCGACGACTCCAAAACAGGGACTGCTACATTTGAAGTCTCAATTGTCTTTAAAAAATTAAGAAGTGCTTCCACATCTATCATTTCACCTTTATCCACATGTTCCCATTCCACATCATCTCTGTGTTCTTGTTCTCTGTGTTCTTCGTGTGTCTGTGTCTCGTGTTCTTCGTTTATCTGTGTCTCGTGTTCTCCAAGTGTCTGTTCCCCGTGTTCTTCGTGTTCCCGTTCCATTTCTTCTTTTTTGTGTAATGGAAGCATGTCGTCTTGGGGTTGGCTGGGATTAAGGGTGTACACTTCCCTGTGCTCTATTTCCATTTCTCCCGCTCGCTTTTTAAAGACCTCAGAAGGAAGAGGCTGAAAATATATAAAAGAAAAAAAATAATGATGAAATTGGAAAAAATAAGAATACAATTTTACATAAAAAAAGGAAAAAAATTATATAGAAATATCTACATACCTTTTCCTTAAAAAAACTATCTGCCATGTTGATGAGCTTGACGATATTCATCAGCTCCATAAATTCGTCGTGTCCAAGAGTGATTCCAGGATACTTTGCTCCTTTCCTGTTGTCGTATACATGAACGTACTTAAAGTCGCCATTATATTTAACAACAACTCTTTTCTGCCTTCCAAACTGTTTGGCAAGTTGTTTCAGTTTGTTGTTGGACTCTGTGGCGTATAAAACTTTCATAATAAATTCCTTTAGGAGCGTTTATTCAATGATTTTGTAAATGGAAAAATGAAAACCGCACTATTTATAAATACTGTTTGGTTCTACAACTGAATTATAGTTAATGTACTCAAGATTGTGTAAAATCCCATTGTTCGAATTCATCTTTGAATATTCATTTATTGCATGACTGACAATTATTGATTGCTTAGAATATTAGGGAGGTGTATACATTTTATTCTACCAGTTTTCAAAGATGTCGACTTTCGTAACTAAAGTTTGTATAAATGTAGAAATCTGGTACCCTATTTACAAATCAATTGAAAAAAGTACGATTCTGAGTATCGTTCATGAACTGAGTAAATGCTGCAAATCTATTTCGTGTCATTTTTATCAATTCTATACTTGATTAAATCAACTCTTATTTACAAATTAATTTTAAGATAATCCTACAAATCATTAATCATTGAAATAAACACTTAAAGTTTGGACATCTATCTGTATGACAACGTCCGGTCTCAAGACAATTGTCTTAGAAGGTTGCTTGCTTTTGAGATTAAGGCATCCAATTTTGGCACGGAAAAGGAATCATCTTGATTATTTCAAGAGAAGCAGTTATCTGTGTGTTGCTGTCGAGATAGTAAGGATTATATGGTGGTGCTATATAAACCAGATTTTGTCAACAGTGTGGCATACATTTCATTCAGAATGACGGATGAACGTGTAAAAGAGGTGGAGGACTGGGGGAGGGAAGCGGATATAAATCCACACCCTCCAGGATGCTTAGTTATGGTTAATGGTGAATTAACCTATGTATTCTTTGTCATCAAACCAAAGATTACACTCCCACCTCCATACGAGGTGGAAGACTGGGGGGTGAAGCGGATAAAAATCCGCACCCTTCGGGGTGTTTAGTCTCCGTTAATGGAGAATTGGTATACACGTATTTTATACCAATTAATACATGTACCACCTACAATACACGTTAAACTGTCCAATCTGAATGAGGGAAAAACAAAAAAAACAAAAAAAAAATTAAAAAAAAAAAAAAAAAAAAAAAAATCTTTGCTTCGGCAAATATGTTATCAAATTAATATTAGTCTCTCTCTCTCTCTCTCTCTCTCTCTCTCTCTCTCTCTCTCTCTTTTACTTTCTAAAAATTGTGTGACTGACTTGAAAGATTAAAATAAAATCTGTATTTCAGAGAATAAAATACAAAATAGCGGGAAAGATATTATTTAAAAAAGTGTGCTTCTAGTATGAATTGATAAAATTTTCTAATTAGCTAGGTCAACCTATAAAGGTCGCAAAGACAAAATTACATTACACACACACACTATCTCTCATAAATAATTAAGTAAATATTCAATGAAATTTGAAGTAGAAATATTAAATCTACACTATTTTCTCACACGTCACAGATCGTAATGATCACCGCAATAATCCACCAACCATAATATTGAGATTGCACAGGTTCGAAACACTTCATGTACAATTTAACAAAGACACCTGCAAAGGTTAAAGTACACGTCACCTTCTTAAGACAAAAAAAAATTGGAACTGCGTAACTTACTAATGTTAAATCTGGTTTACAGGGAAATCTAGAGAGATATTTAAATTCATATTTTTATATACGGATTTACTGTTGGGAGGTTTGTAATCATGATTGTTTGGTTTCACTTTATCGCTATGATCTTCATCCTACAAAATTCCACAGCCCACCCCATTGATGGGAGGAATTGCGAGTTCAAACAAAAAAACGCATTTTAACCTGTGCATGGAAAGGTCCAGGTGCATACTATGTGAAGCAAATTATAAAGAATGCTGAAATTGTTTTATTTCCAAAACTCTTAAAAGATTCCACCTTTTTTTCAAATTTAAGTCAAAATAGACTACTTTTACTACAAACACTTTTTTTTCTCTAAATTTCTAAAATTTCAAAATGATTTCCTACAGTATTAAATATAGTCCTTTTAATGTGTCTGTAACCAAATATTTATAACACTTTAAAATGTTGCTAATTTTGCAAACATTCTCTGTATTGTTTTTTTATCAACATTCATTTACACGTCATATATCATACTATGTGTTTAAATTTTTTAAAATCACAATTTCAAATTCTCAAGTAAATTAAAAAAAACATTACTGTGATATTAATTTGGTCAGTATTTTATTGAAAAAATTTAAAATAGTCATATACTCAAGTACCTTTGTTGTAAATATAGATTTATATATATATTTTTTTTTTTTACAGATGTAGACTTTTAAAATGTGTCATTTTGTACAATGAATTAGCTAGTAAGATTTTTCTTCTAAATGTTTTAAATATGTCATTTTTTGTACAATGGTTTAGCCAGTTAGATATTTCTTCTAAAAAGTCAAGATAGACTAATGCATGCAACTATTTTTTTTCTTTAACACTAGCCTTTTTTCCCCCACCATTTTGTCACATTTAAAAAAAAAAAGTATGACTACATTTTACAAACATTCTCTAAATTCATTTTTATCAACATTCACCTGCAGGCCATACATCATACTATGTGTTAAAACTTTATCATTTTTTATCTTTTATCATTCCAAATTCTCAAAAAAATTACTGTGATATTAATTTGGTCAGTATTAAAAGGCTAAATCACCAAATACTCAGGTATTTTTCTTATACTTTATATATGCATTTATAAATTGTTTTTGTGATTCTTTATAAATCATTTTGTATATTTCAAATTTTACTTTGTTAATTAAAATTGTTAATTTGTAAAATTGTGTTCTACACTCTTTTTCTTTATGACAAGCTTACTTCATTGTGTTGGGAAAAATATATGTGGATGTGTCATCAGACAACAAATGTATTTCACACAAGTTTTTTTTTTTAAAGTGTGAATTACCCTGAAACATGTCTGCATATATTATTCACACTTCTAAAACAATTCAAATTTCATTTGAACCTGAGTTGTTAATTGAGAAAACACCACTTTTTAGGTTGTCGATACATATATTTGTAGACATTACAACAATTGTTATTATTACAGTAAAATATGGGGTATTAATGTTTGACTATCTGTAAATAGAGCATAATAACATAGAATCAATCATGAATCCGCTGTTATGCAAAGCAAACTTATTGCGTGAAGACTTCTGTCTATGCATTCAAATTTGATTTCACATTATTAATACTCTTTAATTGTCTAAGTTGTGTTTGCAATGGTATCCAGCATTACACGAAAGTGTTGGATTCTTGTCCAATTTCTTCCTCCATATCCTCGCAGAAAAACTGATCATTGGCTAAGCATTTATAAAAATCTAGTGGAATGATATCTAACATAAGAATGTCGTGAAGATGCTCTTCTGTCGGAGAATAAAATGCCTCTGGGTGGTTATAGTAGAATACTTGCGAAGTGGTACAGAAATACATCATTGCTCTTTGAAAATCGTTCAAGTGTCCAAGTATCCGTTCCTCATCCTCATCGTCCTCAATCTTTGGTCGCACTTTTAATTTCCAAGAGAGAGCATCTGACTCTATTACATTCACACAGCTAACCAAATTCAAAAGTTCTTCACTTTTTTTCCATGCTTTCATACAAAGCCCAACAACACACTTCCTTTCATGGATGGTCCTCCCTCTCAAATTATAAAGTTTTAAACAATGACAGAGTTCGTGAGGTCTATAGTCTATCAACATTTTGAGAGCTACAACATTATTAATGTATTTCTCCCACCGACGATTGTACTGCTCCTGAGCATTATATTCAGCCATGACGCAATGGCAATTTAAGACTCGTACACGATACGTTTTTAAATACCCAGGAAATCGGAGTTATTTTGATTTCACTATCTATGTCCAGCGTGTCTTATTCCCTTGAAATTCGGATTAAGACTGTGGTCTTTAAAGTCTCGATCCATATACATATACACTGACCCGTTTCCAAAGTAACTCCGCATTTTCAGAATGTGACAGACTTTACATTCCTGTCTTTCACATTAAATTATTCTTTAATTCTAGTAATCTAGTACATTTCTATCATTCCAGTTGGTATATAAACTTAATTTTTTTTTCCAAGCTTCCCAGAGCTTATGTTTATATTAATAACATTCAACGCAAAATAAAAATTCTGTATCTGCAGTGGTCAAATATTTTTATTCACGTTCTCTTATCAAATAACATATACCATTCACTATATACATTCTTAAGGTTCTGCATATTTTTCTATAAATACCATTGTCGATTTACATCTCATGCATATTAAATACCGTCCACGTCACACATTCCATAGAGTCTGCGTGACGTCACACATTCCACAGTAAGTCTGAAGTCTGCGGAGTCTGTTCCAGGAGCCTTAGTTTGGTACTACTTAAAATGCTAAGGTGTGCTTACATCTAGATAAATGAATTTCAATATGTTAACTTGTTTATCATTTATAATTTGATGGATTTGTTATTGCATTATTTTAATTTCACAATATTAAAAAGAATGATATTATTTAAGGCAATATATAAAAGAGGTCCAAGATGTCCTTTCCCATTATCCCGCACAGGTTTTGATAAAGTAAGCATCTGTATTATCATGGTTAGGTTTAGGGGGGAGGAGTTAAAGTGCTCTGTCCACGATCTGCTTACATAAAAAAATCTTTTTTAATTAAAAAATTCAGCACACAATTATCCTAAGAACAACTAGTGATAGGTTAATCTCGAAAAAATCGTTAAAATGTCCATTTCAAAGAAAGTTGACGTTTTTTTCTTCATTTTTTTACTTGCTTATCTTTTTGTTTTACAGAAGACAGCTGAATATGCAGAGGTTCTCAACCATTACATTTCCAACTGTTTTGGCTTTGGTATTTTTCTTTTATGGTAAGCAGAAGGATTGAAATTTTATAAAGACTCCTTTTCCTTAAAAACAAAAGAGGTAAAAAAGGTGTTGTATATGTTGAAAATCGAACAATCTACATATATTCCTTGTCTTTTTAAGGATGTAATTGTGATGTAATTTCTTGCTCGCTATCTGAAAAAGAAAAGTGTGACGACTGGTTTGAACAGGAGAAGTATTCTGCATTCGGCTTTGCCGTCTCGTGTTGGTAAGTGTTTACTCAATTCCTCCATATTAATTCTGTGTAGGTATTTATTATCTCGCATATACCCGAGGATGTGTTGTTTGTGTGTTTCTCTCGGGTACTTTTTAACTGACATATAGAGAGGCCACCACTTGCCGTTAAGGGGGCTGCTAATCTCTGGCATGGCCATTGAGTAGTGAGGGGCCATTTTCGTGTCAGCACCTTCTGGGATCTTGTAGACTGTCAGTGAATTCATACCATCAGATCTTGTTAATGTAGTCACAATGTGCGGCAAGATATTTAAATTACTGTTTCTTGTAGTCACAATGTGCCTCAGTTGATTCATACCATTAGATCTTGTAGATTGTAACCTTTAATAACTATACAGCCAAAAATACGAAAATGGAAGAAGATGAATTTATAATTATATATATTCCATAATTACAATTTTATCAATTTTATCATTCTTTCAAGAAATATAATTAACTTTCCGTGCAAAAATTTTTCAAATTAAAAAAAAATTAAATCAAAACCTCAAATCAGTGCTTCAACTCGGGGTGTTGAAACAAGCTTTTTTGTATCCGGAACTTTCTCTTTTTTTAACACACACGATTTTAATTAAAGTATAAATAGTCGTAGTGATACCACGAAAAAATACATGTAGAATATTATTTGAATATTTACCTTTAGCATGGCAGCGAGTTATATAGACTGTCTAAGCAAAGTTCGTTCAGCTTGCGAGGCAAACCCTGGAATAACCGATGAGAATCTGATTATCAGAAAATCCAACGAAACGATCGACGAAATGAAAAAATTTCAACTGGAAGAGAAATGTAATGGGACAATCACAACAACATCATCATCAACAACAACCGCCGCACGTACGAAATACTTTATTTTAATAGTTCATCCTTTTAATTTCTCTGGTTAAAAAAAAAATCCGCTTAAAATAGATGTTCAAAATGTTATTTATATATATATATATATATATATATATATATATATATATATATATATATATATATATATATATTTGGTCCCTGTCCCCCCCCCCCCCTTTGGGCCTGAGGGGTGGGGCCAAAACCACTAAAATTAATGCAATCTTTAAAAATCTTCTTCTTTACTCCTGCACATCAAGCAGTCAAATTGTTTGCATAATTGTAATCAGAATTGAGTCCTCTATCAAAATTGTGAAATTCATGAACCTGGGGTAGGAGCTGTAGTGCTAGGGCGGGGCTTAATTGATTATATAGTGAAAATGCATTATTTCTTTGAAAATTTTCATCTCTGCTCCTGGGTATTGAATAAACTAAGTACATAGTTATGGTTAGCAAGAGTGCCTCTTCTAAAATTGTGAATTTTATGGCCCAGGGGTTTGGGTGTATGGGCGGGCTCTATTGATTATATAGTGAAAATGCATTTTTTCTTTGAAAATCTTCTTCTCTGCTCCTGGGTATTAATTAAACTAACTATGTAAAGTTATGATGAGAAAGAGTGCTTATTACAAAATTGTGAATTTTATGGCCCCGGGGTCAGGGGTTCTAGTGTTAGGGTGGGGCTCTATTGATTATATAGTGAAAATGCATTATTCTTTGAAAATCTTCTTCTCTGCTCCTGGGTATTAAATTAACAAACTAAGTATATAGTTATGATGAGCAAGAATGCTTCTTCCAAAATTGGGAATTTTATGGCCCCGGGGTCAGGGGTTCTGGTGTTAGGGTGGGGCTCTATCGATTGTCATGTTTATATAGTAAAAAAATGCATTAATTCTTAGAAAATCTAAATTCTGCTCTGCTCCTGGGTATCATTTAAAAAAATAAGTACATACATGTAGTTATGATAAGCAAGAGTGACTCTTCCAAAATTGTGAAATTTATGGCCCCAGTGTCAATGTTCCCGATGTTATGGCGGGACTCTAATAATTATATAGTGAAAATACATCAATTCTTTGAAAATCTTGTTCTCAGTTCCTGGGTATTAAATAAACTAACTTTGTATATAGTTTTATTGCTTCAACCAAGTTTGTGATTTTCAGGGATTTGCCATTTGGTTTATACAGGATGGGCTCTTTTACTTATATAGTGAAAATGCATTAACTCTCTGAAAATTGTTTCAATTGCGCTGGGTATTATGCTAATGATCCAAGTATACATAGGTATGATGAGCAAGTCAGTACCTCTTCAAACTGATTAATTTCATGCCCCCTTGGTTAGGGGTATCGGGGGTGGGGGTATATAGTCTGAAAATAAATTAATGCTTTGAAATCAGCTCTTTGGTATTAATCTACCGTTTATGATGAAATAAAATTTATGATAAAATTTCCAAAATTTTGAAGTATGAGGCCCCTTGGTCAGTGGTTCCTTTCGGATGGGTTGCACAACTGGTTTTAAAGTAGAAGTGCATTTTCTCTTTGTTACTCTGATCTACCTCTGGGTATTAAGTTAATTGAGTAAGCATGCTTAGTTTATTATTATGACAAGCAATGGTGCCTCTTTTAAAATGTGAGTTTCATGGCCTCTGGTTTAAAACACGAACCAAATTTAATTGTTGGAAAGTTCTTACAAGATACTCAAGTGATCTATAAGGCCAGTGGACCTCTTGTTAATTAAAGTGTCAAATGATTTTGTTTTGTTTTTTAAACCTTAGAACATAATTATAGTAAGTTAAACTTAGGGTCTTTAAACTAAAATTTTTTTTTTAGCAGCAACAAATAATGCCATGAAGAGAGATTCCAGCGTGACCCCAATCTTGTATGGAATTTTATTTTCTGTCTTTATTCTACAAAATTTAAAGCTGACATATTTTTACGATGTTTTACTCGTATTTGTTTGAAAATATGGAATAAAATATTGTAAGTACTTTCTTCAAAATGGGGTTCTTAATAGTTTCAAACGCATGTATAACATTTAACAATATGCGTTATTTCATTAACAAAGAAGTCTGTGTTCCAATGCTCACTAGAAATACTCCCACTGTGATGTGAATATACACGATCATATTATATGTGATAAACACAAGTTATTCATGGATAAAAATAGGAAGGTGACATTTAATTCACACAAAAATAAATCCCATCATATGACATGCCTCAACAAAGATTGACCTAACATTTCAAGCATCTACGATAAGTTGAGAAATAAGTACGATCACTTGAAAAAAATGCAACGAAAATGTGTTTTGTATGGTATGGACAGACGCACGGATTAACAGGAAGTTGACGTATGATTTGAACAAAAATAAATTCCATCATATCTCATGCCTCAGCAAAAAAATGTGCTAAAATGTCAAGTATCTTCATGAGTTGTTGCTGAAAAATCTGCAGCAAAAATTTGTTACAGACAGACAGAAACACAAAAGGATAAAACAATAAAACATAAGAAGATTATTTTCATAGCTTTCATTAGCTGAAAGGACGTCACGTGAAATTCCTTCTATTGCCATATCGACGCAAAAGCGCGTCCGCGGAAAATGATATCGCACGACACGCCGTTCGGTTGCACTAAAGTTACGTAGAAAGTGACGTCATAATATAAGAAGCGTGAATTTAACCATTGTGACATAATGACAGTCAAGTCCGTTCAGTTATGGTTGAGTCAGTGCATTCAATTTGAGTGATTATATAATATAACTATTATGGACTTCAGTGAACGGTCAATATGTGGTTATAAGGACTCATGGCAATTGATATTGACCGAAGACACAGAAAGTGATAGCGACCGAGTCTGCGAGGTCGCTATCACTTTCTGTGTCTTCGGTATATTTTCAATTGCCATGAGTCCTTTTTACGACATATCGACCTACACTGAAGTCCATAATTGTATAGTATCTCCCTCTCCTTCGGAGCAAAGGTATAAACAAGGGGGTCATGATTTTTTAACAAACTTGAATCCACACCAATCTGCAGATGCTTCCACATAAATATGACAAATAATGACTGCCGTGGATCATAATTTGAACAAACATGAATCTAAACCACCTAGGGATACTCCCATATAAACATCACCAATTTTGACTTTACTGTTCGAGAGAAGATTTTTAAAGATTTTCCTATACATTCCAATGTAAAATTTTGATCAGCCATTGTGGCCCCGCCATACCACCAGGGGTCTTGATTTGAGTCTACCAGAATCTGCACTACCTGTGAATGCTTCCATATAAATATGACAAATAATGGCTTTACTCCTCTTGAGAAGATTTTTTAAGATTCAACCTATGTACTCCTATGTTATAATTTGATTGTCCATTGTGGCCCCACCCTACCCCTAGGGGGTCATGTTTTGAAAAAAAAAAACTTTAATCTACACCAACTGAGAATGCTGTCTTATAAATATCACCAATCATGGCTTTGCTGTTCTTGAGAAGATTTTTAAAGATTTTCCCAATACATTCCTATGTAAACTTTGATCAGTCATTGTGATCCCGCTCTACCCCCCCCCCCCCAGGGGTCATGATTTGAACAAACTTGGAATATGCACTACCTGAGGATTGCTACCAGATGAGTTTCATCTTTCCTGGCCCAGTTGTTCTTAAGAAAAAGATTTTAAAAAGATGCCATTAATTTTTTGATAATTGGTAATTATCTCCCCTTGAAAGAGGGCGTGACCATTCATATGTAGAAACTTTAATTCCCTTTACCCAAGGCTACTTTATGACAAATTTGTTTGAAATTGGACCAGTGGTTCTTGAGAAGTAAATGAAAATGTGAAAAGTTAACGATGACAACAACAACGACAAACAACGGACGAATTTTGATCAGAAAAGCTAAAGGTATTGTAAGTGGTGGGCTTCCCAAATGATACTCCCCACCGCCCGTGCATATGATTACTAATGGCAAAACGTATAATAGGAGTTGCTTGTGCATCGGCATTATGTTATAAAAACACATCTGTGAAAGCATCGTTAACTTTTATTCAGTAGTACAAGAGGAGTTGCGGATAAGAAATGGGTACCCTTCAATATCATAGAAAGAAACAGTGTCCGTGCTTTGCTATGACAAACCCCAAATACATGCGTCAATAAGGCTGTGGGTGAGGATTTGAGTGGTCGATGGCCGCGTTACCCAGATGGCCGTTTATAGTTAAAATATATAGTAAAAGTATTCGGGGAGAATTGAAAGTGGCCGCTGACCACGAGTGGCCGTTGATTTCGGGTGGCCGGTAAGACAAGTTTGACTGTATGTGTCTGATCAAAACGTAACATATGAGGTGCACAATTGCACTTACCTCAGGCCTTGAAATGTTTGTCAAGGTCATTCAAAGTATGAGAAAATACGCTCTAAAAGACACAGGGTACTCTTCTTTTAATTTTGTTTGAAATATGTACGTTTGCAAATTTATTATCTGATTATTAGTTTGAAATAAAAACTTTTAAAGAGAGCATGGCAAAGTGTCTAAGAAATAAATATGAAATTAAAATATATCTACGTTTCTAAATTCTTTGAGTAAGTAGGTTACTTGTTATTTCAGCTGTTTCCGACGTCATAACATGTACTGCTGCATGTACATCAAGAGATGTTAGTAAAAGAAATATGCCCCCTCTCACAGATATTTGGAATTTCTAAGTTCAAAGGGTATAACTCTGTACAAAAATGCTCCGTCGTATCCAAAACAAAAATTGGCTTAGATATTCATATTATAAATATGTACACTTTTTTTCAGTGTCATTCCAGTATGTGCAACCACTGCCAAGAAAATGTAAGGAAACGGCAAGTTCTTTGTAATTTACAAAGTCCAAAGGATACAACTCTTTCAAAAGTGGCATGATAGTACACAAATTAGAAGTTTACCTAGATATTTTTAATGATAAATCTGTATACCTTATATATATGGCATATAAATTTCTATAAAAAATCAAATCAAACAGCATCCTGAAGAACTTATGCTGTATTATAAAAACTAAAAATCTCAATGTACTGTAGATAATAATTTGGAATGTTGGTCGGAGTACACTAAAAATTAGTTCTTATCTTAGGCCTGGAGGATTGATTGATTGTATATTGTTTAACGTCCCTCTTGAGAATTTTTCACTCATATGGAGACGTCACCGATGCCGGTGAAGGGCTTCAAATTTAGACCTATACTCGGCACTCAGGGCCATTGAGCAGTGAGGGTTCTTTATCGTGCCAACGCCTACCGTGACACGGGACCTACGTTTTTAAGGTCATTTCCGAAAGACCCGTGACTTTCACTTCTAGTGCCGAGCTCTTGGCGAAGGAACAGTCACTACCTATGTTTACGTCTTAGGTATGACGCGGCGCCGCGATCGAGAATCGAACCCGGGCCTCCCAATCACGAAGCGAACGCTCTACCACTAGGCTACCGTGACAGGCTTGGAGGAAAAAATAGTACAAATTCTAAAAGTCGATTTCTAGTCTACAGTACCTAAAAAAGGTAGAGCCACTTTGGGCCATATTTGGCCCTGAGAATTACTGGAAAATCAAAACTGATCAGTTTAGGTTGCAAATGCAGTATTTATCACTTGGAGTGTTGGTGACCACGTATCTATTAATTGTGACGTAATTTCCCATCTAGTCAATGTATTATGACGTCATAAAATGCGTCATTTTCCTAATATCCTGTAAATTCCTTTAAAAATGACCTAAAGTTGAAGCTTTCTTTCAATATTTCATATAGAGCACAACCTTTGATCCAAAATATGCATATACATAATGAAAGCTCTGTTTCTGAAGATCAAAACACATGTTTTATTTTTTGGATCGTGGGCTGTGCTCATATATTAATTCTTTGTTAAAGGTAGTCAAATACGCATGTTTTCTGCAAATTTCAAGAACATTGCAATTTCTCAAACCTGTTTTCCAATATCTGGATTCTCAAAAACGAAATGTTATTATAGGAAATGAGAGCACCAGGTGTCTACTCTCTTTTGATGTATGAAATGGTAAAGAGGGTGATAGTTAATAAATTGATATAAGTACAGGGCCATTTTATGCATAAGATGGCTCTTGCTCTTTAGTTCTATGCCACAGTAAGTGTTCTCTTTTTCTCGCGAATAAGACCCCTGACAAATTCTGCTTTATTTAAATACAGAAGTACGTCTGCTTATAACAGGGTGCAATTGGTAGCCATGAGAATTCCTACAGATTTCTGGGAAACTTCATTTCAAAAAATCACAGATACTGTAAATCAGAAAATCATGCATCTTATCAAACGAAGGATACTGGTTTTATCTTACTAAATAATAATAAATAATTAAAATAAAATAGTTATTTCATTACCTTTTGAAAGGTACTTATGTTTTTACTTTTTTACCTGTGTCCGACTGCTGGACATTCTCCTTTTTTCATTTTTTTTTATTTCGCTAGTTGCAATTGGCTGTGTATTACTACACGTATTAAGAAGAACTCTTGATGACTCTTCCCTCGTTGTTTCAGTTTCGGCCGCAGTTTGACTTTCACACAGGGGGCGCGAACTCATGACCCTTCGAAAAGAAATTGACCAAATTAAATAACCTACCTTAATTCAAATTTTATATGCATATAAATGCACTTAAAAGCGAAATCATGTATCCTTACTCGCAACATTACATTAGCGACGAGGATATATAATTTTACATAATGTTTGAGCGGTTATTAATTTTGACTGTGAAATATCAATATTGGCTACTGGATTTCTTCCATTTCCGAAGTTTGATGTCTCGGATCAAAGTTCAATAGGACAGCGTTGGAAAAAATGTGAAAGTTTCGTCCTTGCTATTGGAATTACAAGGAATGATCGAAAAAGGGCAATACTCTTACACTATAGAAGAGACGATGTTTACAACATCTTTGATACTTTTGCGGACACAGGAGGGCCAAATGACTATGATGCAGCAAAA